CATCTCCCCAATTCAGAGCTCTAATGTGTGCATTTTTAAGGCTCTAGACAGGGGGCTAGGCTAAATGTGTCTTATTCATTTATTAAACTAGACTAGTTAAATGGTTACTTTTTTTAAAATGTGGCTTTTTCTATAAATGTTGCATTATTTTTATGGCTGACTTTTTCCTTTTCTAACTTGCCATTTTTTACCTGTGATATACTTTTGATCACTACATACAGACAACAGTTGATCTCAACAACTGGCCATTTCCTAGAGATGAGCCACTTTGGATTTTTAACACATTTGAATTTTGGCAGTTTTCAGATTCAAATGCCTGAACCCAAACCTATCCCTATGGCTTTAGATTCAGGTTGGATGCAAAACCAGATAAGGCCTAGTTTCTGGTTGTGCTTTGAGGAAGGTGGGAATTTTGCAGTTGCAACGAAAGGTGGCAATTTTGTGAAATTAGCTGTAATTGACCATCAGGGCCAGTCCACAACACTTTGGCACCTGAGACGGGAAACTCAAATGACGCCCTCATCCCCCATCGCTTGGGCCAAAACTTTGAAAGGTCTCAATTCTGCTTTCTTCCCTATTCTACTCTTCTCATGGTACTGCTCTGCTACCTACCCCAATAAAGGAGAACTAATAACTTAAAATGCCTTATTCAAAAATTTTAAGTAACATTTAACTTTCAAATGCCTGAACAGCAAATGTAAATTTTCTTGTCTGCATAGTAAACATTGGCATTTTTATCTGTTTGAATAATCAAAGTACTGCTTTCTGTGCCTTCTTGGCTGCAAAGATTTGAACTGCTTCCTGAAGGTCCACAGTCTGGGCCAGCTCATGCTCTGTTGAGATGGTTGCAAGGCTGACCAGCCTCTCCTGTGTCATTGTGGAGCACAGATGTGTTTTTTATTAACTTCAGCTTGGAGAAACTGTTCTCCACTGGCAACTGTTACAGGAAGCGTTAGAAGTATGCACAGAGCAACAAAAGCTTTTGGAAAGTGGGTGGTCATCTTATTTGTGCGCATATGTTCCAGAACAGCCTTTGGAGATGATCCTGCTGAAATGTAACTTGAAAGGGCTTTCAGTTCATCACCTAAATCACTTGCATCAATATCGCGCATGTCATTGTGTCAACACTGTCTCTAGTGCCCTGCATAATGGTGTAGGTCTTCAGGTATAGTGAGGAGTTTTGGAATATCATAGAACATCCCAAATATACAGCTGTGCTCCTTGAGCTGCATGAAACGTTCTTCACCTGACTGTATTGCACAGTCTAGCACCTGGTTAAAGAATTCAACTTTCAATTGTTGTTTGGGGTCTCTTACGGGATTATCCCGTGCCTCGTAATCAAAATATCTTCTTTGGTGACTCTTGTATTCTTGAATGGGTAGGAAAATAGCTTCAGTGTGAAGTTCCTCTGCCAACTTCTGTGCACTCTTCAGAACATTTTGAAATCCCTCATCTGACCGGTAAGCCTGTAGGTATGACTTTACTTTGTCCAGTTGTTCCAGTGCTCCAGATATATCAAGGTCAACACCTCGGAGTCTCTTGCTTACATCATTTATTTCAAACAGTATGTCATGCCACAACACTAAGCCACACAGAAATTTGAAGTTATGTATGTTTCTGGTGATTCCATTTCCTTCTCCCATGAACAGTTCCTGTTGTAGCATTATCCTCCATCATGGCAACTATGGCATCATCTATCTTCCCAATTTGGTGTTTGATAGGCTTTGTCGCCTCCACTCGACTTTCCCATTGTGTGGAACTCAGTGGTTTCAGTGTCAGAGAGGATGTTCCCAGATGTTGCTTCAAAATTTGTCATAGATGAATTGATGCAGAGAAAAATACATAGATGTTTTGAATTACATTAAGTAATTCAGCAACCTCACTAGAAGCTGATGCTGGATCACTGACCACCAAGTTCAATGAGCAGCGCGGGGCCAGGGCAGGCAGCCTTCCTTAGCCCCGCTGTGTGCCGCTGCCACCCTGGAGCCACTCGAGGTAAGCGGCGCCAGGCTGAAGCCTGCACCCCGCCCCCAGCCCTGAGTCCCCTAACCCCCTGCCTTGAGCCCCCTGCCAAACCCTCCTGCACCCCAACCCCCTGCCCATAGCCCCTTCCTGCACACCACACCCCCTCCTGCACCCCAACCCCGTGCCACAGCCCTACATTCATGGCCCTGCATGCAATTTCTCCACCCAGATGTGGCCCTCGGGCCAAAAAGTTTGCCCATCCCTGCTTTAAATCATATCAGTGCTTGTTATCGTTTCGCTCTTTAGGTGACTCAAATAAAATACCCTCAGTTTCAGCTGAACTGAATTAGCAACAGAACAAACATGAAGATTATCTATATTGTTCTAAAGCACAAATAAAAAGCATTCGCTTTGCATGGGATTAGCCATTAATCTGCCATGCTGATAACCTGCTTTCAGATAAAACAAGTTTGACTTGTTACCACTCCCATAAAATCATCTTTATTACCATTCTTTCTCTGATGCTTATTGAAACTTCCTGCATTTTACTTGCAGAGCCCAGTCCAGTTGTTTTATTTGCAAAAACATTCTGAGATCATATCATTTTGGGTGCATAGCAATTGGCTATAACTCTCCGTTGGCCAAAAAAAAAAAAATCAATCTATTCTGATCACGAATGTACCCAAAATACTGTCCATATTTGTTCTAAAAAAATAGAGCTGGTTAAAAAATAAAAGCCAAATTCCCCATCCAATTTTTTATTACATTTTGAACTTTCTGTACTCTCCATCCAGTTCTACTAAGAAGAAAGTAGCATCCTAGTGGGATAGCGCTTGTATAATAGTGTTACTGGCAATGAAAACACTCAGTCTCATTCTGAGCCTGCTTACACCAACGTACATCAAGAAAAACTCCCCTGATGTCCAAAGACTGAGCTCAGAAATAAGCCCATCTTGTCTTTTTTATAATTATATTTAAAGTATATTGTCTAAAATTCAGCCAGACATGTGGTATCTACAGCATCTGCTTGGATGTGCTTTGCCTTTTGAAATTCCTATTTCTAATGCTTATGTTCTCTAAGCCAGTATAACTAAGTGCTATATATTATCTCAAATATAGATGCTTTGTTTTACAGTCAATGGGCAAATACTTAATGCATAGTCCACCTGTAGGAATCCCACTGACACGAATGGAAGTTCTGAGCCTGAAGCGAATCCAGAAGGCTCAACTGAGATCTGCCCTGATTACCAGAGAGATTTCTTCCCCTCGTCTCTAAAGCATGAAAACCCCAGATAGCAATGATATGCCCGTGCAACTGATCAAAAGGGCTGATGAGAATGATCCCAGCACCCTCCTGCATCCCAAATCTCTCATCCCCAGCCCTACCCCAAAGCCTGCACCCCCAGCTGGAACCTGCACCCCTTCCCGCACTCGTGCCCCAGCCCTGATCCCCCTCCCGCCTTCCAAACCCCTCTCTCCCAGACCAGAGCCCCCTCCTACACCCCAAACTCCTCATGCCCATTCCAGAGCCCGCACCCCCAACCGCACCCTCGCACTTACAGCAACGCCGGCCTATTCAGCCAGACACCAATAATGTTCTAAATGGCCCAGTAGTACATAAAGTAGTCCCGCACCCCCAACCAAAGCCCTCACCCCCTCCCGCATCCCAACCCCAATTTTGTGAGCATTCATGACCCGCCATACAATTTCTATGCCCTGATGTGGCCCTCAGGCCAAAAAGTTTGCCCACCCCTGAGCTAGAGGGTTCCTGGCAGCTGCAGTTCCCCACAAGCCCTGAGGGAAGAAGAAGGCAGCGCAGCGCGCAAGAAACTCTGAGCAAGCCTGGGACCAAGCATCAGGCTGTTTCTCCCTCTGGATCCTGGGCTCTGTGGGGGGGCAGGGGAGGGAGGGAGATGGGTGTATGGATGGGGTGCAGGGGGGGGTACAGCTAGGTCCTGGGACGAAGGGGGCGTGGGTATATGGGCCAGAGAGGCCCCACGGCTGGGCTCTGGGGGAAGTATCTGAGTTGGAGGGGCCCGACAATTGGGCTCTGGGGAGAGGAGGTTTGGGTGTATTGGCTGGGGGGCCCCTGCAGGAGGGCTCTGTGGGGAAGGGGTTGCAGGTGTCTGCACCCCCACACCCCAGCTAGGCTCTGGCAGGTGGGCAAAGGGGCAGATAAACAGGAACTGGGTTGTCATAATGGTTTCTTTAACTCTCTACTCCTGGGGGAATTCTTGTGTGTGTTTGCATTGTTACAAACATACTTGCTGACCAGTATTTTGAAATAAATTACCAAAATAATTGAAACTGGTGTGGTTATGTAGTGTTATTTTGACAAATAAAATTTTCAGAATTTTAAAATATTGTGTGCATAATTTTAATTTTTTTGGCGCAGAATGCCCCCAGGAGTAACCTGAGTTCTGGCCAAGACTAGAAGCTGAAGTACCAAAATACTACAAGAAAGCCTGTCCTTATAGCATTCTGACCCAGTCTAAAGTCGCAATCTTACAAGAGAGCCTGGTCTCATGAGAACTACACCCAAATTTACAGATCCCAGAATTCTGGTTACTAATCTGAACTGAGGGCCAGACAAACCAATACGCTCCATTCCTTTGTGTTGCTCTCTTTCAACACAAAGCAGCCACAAACCAGAATTTACTGGCCAGTTAAATGAAGCATATGATCGCTTTGCATCACTGGAGCAGTACAAAGCAATCAGCGAGTACCACTCAGTCTAGATCTGAATCTCCAGGCCTTTTCAGGCATGCCCGATGCTGCTGAAAAACATGGGTAAAGAGGCAGTCTTTTCCCTCTTTGTGAACTCAGAACTATCGCTGAACATTTCCTTTCATATGTAACATTTGAAGGTCCCAGCACCTAACATTTATTCCTCCCCTCCCAGTACCTTGTTCTTGTCACATTTCTTTTAAAGTCCTTGTCTCCCTCCACTGTTTCTTCATATCCCCTCCCCCCACACACACACACCTTATTCCTCTCTCCCCTGTTTGGTAAGCTGTAATGAAGCTGATACTCACTGGAGAGAAGATGTCGATTCAGCTGAACTTGTCATCCCATTTTCTGCCATGTCAATGGCCTGTTTGATTTCCATCTTCTTGTACAGAGATACAATGCTGGATTGGGGCTGGTTCCCCCGGATCAGGATTTTCTTTAGATATGTATTGTCAAACTTTTTAAATCTATGAAACAGAAATGAAAAGAAAATGTAAAAAAGAAAGGAGCCTATCTTCCTCTCTGACAACATCCATCAAATATATATTGTGATAGACCCAGGCCGGTTGGGCACAGCAGAGTAGCCCTATTGGGATCCAGGAAGTGGGCGGGCAGAAGCCCGCCTACTGCTAAAGGATCCCCCCCCAACCTAAGAGGGGGGGTCCACAGGCCCTGAAAACCAAGTGATTTTGCGGGACAACTAATAAAATAACAGGAACAGGAGTGCAGTCAAAGGGTCAAACAAAGGGAACCTGATGGGGAAACTGAGCAGAGAACCCCGGACAGCGCCACTGCTCTGAGAAGGCGTCAAAGGAGTCAGTGGACACCACCCAGAGGAACTCTGCCTGCATATGTGAACGGACCGAGGATCGGAAATAGGCCCCGCAGTCACAGGAGTCTCCATCGGCCAACGTCCTCTCCCTGGTTTTATAGATGGGCCGTTTTAGCCAGGGCCAGGAGGAGGTTGACCAGGAGGTCCCGTGGCTTTGTGGGGCCATGGATAGGGAGTGCATAGATAAGGAGGTAAGGGGAAAAGTGCAACCAAAAATGTAACAAAATATTAGTGAGGAGCCGGAATAGGGGCTGCAACCTGGAGCACTCCAGGTAAACATGCACCAGGGTCTCCCTCACGCTGCAGAAGGGACAGGTGTCTGGGATGGGGGGGGAACTGGGCCAAGTACACGCCTGTGCTCACAGCTCTGTGAAGGAGCCGACAACCGACATCCCCGGCGGGCCTCGGGACCAGGGTGGAGTATAGGCTGGCCCACAAGGGCTCCTCACCCTCCAGAGATGGCAGGAGGTCCGGCCACTTTGTGTTGGGGTGGGATGTGCGGGTGAGGAAGTGAAGGGTGTGGAGTATGAGTGTGTATAGATGTTTCTTTGGCGCAGTCTGAAAACGAACCGGCTGCAAGTCGTGCAGACGGCTCATGGTGAAGGAGGTGGGGGGGCTGGTTGGGTCCATGAGGCAAGGGCTTGATGAAAAGGTCCAGAGGGCCTGGGGTAGAGGGTGGGTGGGGCATGCCCTCTCGCAGGGCCTGGTGGAGATAAACCCGACCAGCGGGAGGTAAAGCTGCCCTCACCTCCTGAAGTACGTGCTGGGGAGTACAAGGTCTGGAGAGCCCCATGTGCTGAGCAAGTGTCAGGGGATCCAGCCAGTCTCCCCGGTCATAGTCCAGGAGGTCTCTGATTCTGGTAACTTCTGCCAGGACCAACCTCTGGCGCACCGAGGGGGACTCCGCCACCTGCACACTGAGCTGGGGATTGTATAGCAGGGGCTCCGTGAGGAGATCTGCCCCCCCCCCCCCAGTGGCCACCACGGACCTGGTTGCCGAGAATAGTTTCCAGGTCCGGAGGAGGTCCTGGGAGAAGACCGGCAGCCCGGAGAGGTCTCACAGAAGACCTCTCGGATGGAGATAAAGGAGCTGCCAGTCGTATCGGAGCCCTCGGAAGTGGTGCAGGAAGGCGTGTGCCAGGACTCTCCACACCAGACTACCTGTACCATAAAGGAGCCTCTGCAGGGCACGGAGGCGGAAGGCACTTCAGGCCATGCCCTTCCTCCTCCAGGGGCAGGTGGAGGACCCCTGCAGAGACCCAGTGCACTCCTGACCAAAAGAACTCCAGAATCACCAACCAGAGGTTGGCCAGGAAATCCGGGGTTGGGACCAGGGTGTTGAGCCGGTGCCAGAGCATGGATAGGACTAATTGATTGAGCGCCAGTGCCCTCCCTCAGAGGGAGAGGCACCAGAGCAGTCCTGTCCATTTCTGGAGCCGCTCTGTCACCCTGCCCTCTAAACCGTGCCAGTTCTCCGGCGGAGACGGATGCGTGGCAGAAAGGTAAACGCCGAGATAGAGCAGCGGACCCGCACTCCACCGGATGGCCTGAAGCGCAGGTGGGAGGGAGCTCGCCTGCCAGCTGGCCCCAACCACCAGGCCAGAGCTCTTGACCCAGTTGACCCAGGCAGAGGAGGCTGCCAAGTAGACAGCCTGGCACAGATGGAGGCTTGCCAAGTCGCCCGGGTCCAGGACCACGAGGAGAACGTAGTCAGCGTACGCCAACAGGACCAGCCTCAGCTCTGGCTCTCAGAGCACCAACCCCGTTAGCCTCCAATGGAGGAGGCAAAGGACAGGCTCAATCTCCGGAGTGTACAGCTGGCCAGAGGGGCACCCCTACCGTACTCTCCACCCAAAGCTGACTGGCTCAGTCGGGTCCAGTTGAGCCTGACCAGACACTCCACGAGGTGTACAGCACCTGGAAAAAGCCCATAAACAGGGGTCCAAAGCCTAACGCTCGCAGAGTGCCCAGGAGATACCTGTGATCCACCCTGTTGAACGCCTTCTCCTGATCCAAGGACAGGAGGGCGAATGACAGACCATCCCTACACCCAAGCTCCAGAAGATCCCGGACCAGATAAAGGTTATCAAAGATGGTACGGCCCGGGACGGTGTAGGTCTGGTCTGGGTGGACCATGTCTGCCAGCATGGACCCCAGCCGCAGCGAGATGGCTTTGGCTATGACTTTGTAGTCCGTGCTGAGGAGCAAGACAGGACGCCAATTCTGTAAGTTGCAGAGTTCCCCTTCTTCGCCAATTAGGTGACCACGGCTTGTCTGCACAAGAGAGGGAGGACCCCGCTCTGCAAGGACTCGGCCCAGACGGTGACAAGGTCCAGGCCAAGGATGTCCCAGAACATGCGGTAGAACTCCACGGTCAGCCCGTTCAAGCCCAGAGATTTATTGGTGGGCATGCGGCGGAGGGCTTCCAAGAACTCAGCCAGAGCGAGAGCCGGTCTCGGTTGCCTGTACTGACCGTCGGGAGCCCATCCCAGAGCACTCTGCAAGTGTTAGGATCAGTCAGATCCAGGGAGAAAAGGCCTGCTTGGAAGGTCCTGGCCCTCCCGCACATCTCCACTGGATCCATGAGGGGTGTGCCATCCTCTGCTAGGAGGTAGGTGACGTGCTTCTTGGGCCCCCCCCCCTTTTTCTCCAGGGCGTAGAAGAAGCAGGAGCCATGACCCATCTCCCGAAGGAGGCAGATTTGGGATCGAACAAAGGCACCCCAGGCCCGATGGTCCTCGAGGGCCTGGAGCTCCTCCCACTTCTCCCAGCACGCCTTGCAGAGGGATGGATCCTCAGGGCTGGCGGCCAGACACCTCTCCAGCTCTAAGACCTCCTGTTCCAACTGCCCTATCACCGCATCCCTCTGTCGGCTGGAGCCCCAGGTGTAGTCACGGCAGAAGAGCCGGGCGCGCACCTTTCCCACATCCCACCACCGCCATGCCAAGGAAAAGACATGCCTCTGCTCTCACCAGGCCAGCCAGAACTCCCAGAAGGATGCCACGAAGCCCACATCCTCCAGCAAGCCATTGTTAAAATGCCAATAGGCCGGCCCCGGCCTCTCCTCACAGAGAGAGGCCGTCATAGTGGCTAGATGATGATCTGAAAATGGGGTCGGCCAGATGCTGGAGGAGTGGGCCCGTGAAAGATGGAAATGTGACAGATAGATTCAGTCCAATCGGGAGTGGCGTGACCGATGGGCTTCCACCCAGACAAAGGTGAACGTTGAGATGTTGTCCGGGTGGTGGTTGCGCCAGACGTCCATCAGGGAGTGATGGTCGACAATCTCCCTGAGGACATCCGCAGTGGCCGGGCACTGCTCGGGCCCCGAGCAGTCCCACTCCTCGAGGGTGGTGTTAAAGTCCCCGCCCAGGACCAGGCACTTGTGAGGATCCAAGATGTCGAGGAAGGCGGACGCCTGCTGATAGAAACGCAGCTGCTCCGGGCCCAATGTCGGAGCATAGACGTTAATGAGGTTGACCACGAGCCCCTCCATACAGACCCGGAGGTGCAGCCAGAGGCCTGGCACAACCTTGATGACCCCCAGCACCTTGGGCCGTACGTCGGGGGAGAACAGGATAGCCACTCCAGATGTATGAACTGTGAGATGGCTAAAGTAAACCCTGTCCCCCCATTCCAGCTGCCAGCTATCTTTGGCTAGCCGGATCCATATGGGTCTCCTGCAGGAAAACCCCAGAGTACGCCTCACTCCTGAAGGAAGGAGAGCACCCGACACCTGCGGAGACCCATCCTACAGCCCCGGGTGTTCAATGTTGCAAAGTTGATGGGTGCCATGAGGAGGGCTGGGGTGGGATCCTCGCCGGCAGGACGCTTACAGCCCCCATTGGGCTGCGCAGCAAACCGTGACCTATTCCATAGGTGAGCAAGGAGTCACGGAAGCTATGGACCCACTGGTAGGCTGCGGCACCCTGCTTCCTGGTCCTTTTACCCTCCCCCACGAGGGCCCTCACGGCCCGGAAGGATTTGATGAAAATCCCCACATCGCTGGAGAGCGAGCTGCACTTTGTTGCGGGAGCCACGGGCATCTTCAAGGAAGTCCCGCAGCTCTCCTCGCAGCGTATGTGGGGGTGGGTCACTGGCCCCTGACCGTCCTCTTGTGGAGACCCTGGCACAGCCCCATGGCCCACCAAGACGTGCAGGCAAGGGGTGGACCCCCAACATGGCACCCCATGGGCCGGTGCCACACAGCCTGCCTCAGGCTCCAGCTCAATGGGGGATGGCAGAGGAAAAATAGCAGCCCCTAGTGGGTCAGGACAGGGAAACACAAAGGCCGCTCCCTGGGGGTCATCTGCTGGAAAAGGGAAGGAGACAGCCCCAGGGGTGGCAATAACATCATGGGAGGTGGAGAGGCTAGGGACAGGGTCAGTATCAGGGGCAAGGCCAGGGCCAGGATCAAGAACAGGGGCAGGGGCGAGATTCTGGGCTCCAGAAGCCGAGCAACTAGGGCGTGACACCTCCCGGTCAGGCTCAGGGGTTCGGGGGGTGGGAAGGGGGCTCTCAGCGATGCTGGGCGCAGGCTCCATGGTGGGTTTGGCAGCCATGGCAGCAGGAGGTGGACTATCTTCTGTAGGGCCATAGCATCATCAGGGGACTGGCTAGCAGGGGTCGAGTCAGGGGGCAGGGGCGATGGCTCAGCGACTCAGGGAGGTAACGGTGGGGCAACAGAAGGGAGGGAAGACTCCTCCTGGGGCGGGCCCTCTCCCATGCCCGGCAGTATCCCCGCCTGCACTAGAGGAGGGGGGTTATAACAACGTTGGGGGGTGCGTGAGATGGGGCAAACTCAAACAGGGGAGGGGCACAAGCACATGGAAGGGGGCATGGGCGCACAAGGGGAGGGAGTAATCAGGGGAAGGGAGACCGCAGGCAGAGGGGAACAACCAGGCTGGGGGTGGGGCAGAGGAACCAAGGGGCTAGCTTCAGAGGCTGGGGCAGGACAAACAAACAAAAGCTGCAGAGGGAAACGGGTGGGGCAGGCAAACAAACTGAGGCTAGCAAGGGGCTGGGGCAAAAGGGGGGGCAAAAGACTGCAAGGGGCAAAGCTGGGGGCTTGCTGGAGGGGGTCAGTCCAAAGCGGGGGGGCACATGCGCCCAGAAGTCAGTTTGGGCTGGCTGCTGCTTCAGGCCCAAATGGTGGAAAAGGCTGTGGCAAGCCAAGCAAGCAGCGGAGTCCCAGAGGCAGGAGTTTGTGGCAGATGGTAAGTGTCCACTGGGGGTGGCGGAGGGGGCAGCGATGACGGTGGTGGGGGTTTGGGGGGAGGACACAGATGAACCAGGGGGCAGGCTCAATGCTACACCCCCTGTGTCCCCACAAACACAGTCAAGACCCCCACCACAAGAGCACAGTTCAAAAGTTACTCAGTCTTAAGGCCCCTTCCACACTGGTCTGCAGAGTCTCTGTGCACTCCCCCGGCAGCAGATGGTCCTCTTCTTCTCCTCTTTCAGGTTCTAGCAGCTCCAGACAGCAGTCCAGTGGCCAGGCAGGCAGGCAGAAAGGACCTCTCACAGGTGACGGTGGTGGTGTCTGCAGCAGCAACGACCAGGGCTGGGGTCCCTCACTTCCCTCCTCTCGGGAGCAGGCCAATAGCCCCCCCCCAAGGGGCTGTAGCAGTAGCAACAAAAGGTGGGGGGTCCAGTGGCTAGCCAGCAACCAGGTAGCAGAAAAGGGGTGGGGGGGTGTCTGGCCCAGCCAGGGGAGTAGCTGGAGCAGCAAGAGCCCAGGCCCCAGCAACAGTCTTCTATCTCCCTCCAGGCCAGTTGGGTACAGCTGAGTAACAAAAGGCCACTAGATTAACAATTTTCTGTTCCCTGACTGACCAGAGCAGAGGCTGCTCCAGGCTAATAGGAACACCTGACTCCAGTTAACCTGCAAAGAGTCAGGTGAAGCCATTAAGCTAATGTGACCACCTGACTCTAATTAAGGCCCCTCTGATACTATAAAAGGGCTCACTCCAGTCAGGTAGAGGAGAGCTAGGGAGCCAGTGGAGAGGAAGTACAGTTGAAGGGTTGGTTAATGAAGACACCCTCAAGTTACTGGTAAGGGAGAAGCAGGAGAGCTGTGGGGAAGTGGCCCAGAGAAATATAGCAACTCTAGCAGTGACAGGTTGGCTGCCAACAGCTGCTACCATTAGGGTCCCTGGACCAGAATCCAGAGTAGAGGGTGGGCCTGAGTTTCCCACAACCCACCACGACAGAAACACCTCCTGGGAGGGGGGGAAAGCAGGCCCCTATCATGACAGGAGGCTAAACTGTTTTGGTATGAGGCTGTAGGAGCAACAGAGACTATGGGAGTTCTCTCACAAACCTCCTTGCTGGCTTATGATGAAAAGGGCTCAGTAGACTGTATCCCTGGCCCTACAGAGAGAAGGGGTATGTAGAGGGTTGCATAAACCACTTGGAAGCGTGGGACCCCCAGGGACAAGGTTGGAGCTCTGCCACAATATATAATTGCATGTTGGAAACTGAATCCAAATTGTAGGCACCCGTGGCCTACTGAAGGACCAGTGAACAGAAGAAACCTGTTGGAGGACAAAGGGCATGGCCTACTGGTCCACAAGGATGGTAAATTTGCTATACAAAAGAAAGAAACAAGCTGCTATCATAGCAAAAAGAAGGTTGGGTGAGTGTTAGCATATAGCATCACCACAATTGTATGAAGAGAAAAAAGGGGCCAGTCTTTCATGCTCTTGTACAAGTGTTGTATTCTAATAAGGTATAACAGCAGCAGCTGCTGCACTTACAAGCAATGCCGGCCTATTCAGCCAGACACCAATAATGTTCTAAATGGCCCAGTAGTTAGGTCCCATTATGTTGCTGATCATTTTGAATCCTGACAATTAGGGGAAAATATATGTCCTAATATTCTGAATGCCAGAGAAATTGAATGGACTACAAAATTATGTGTGTATGCATGCTGCATATTATAATATACCACTAATGTGCTGCATACACCAGTTTGTGTGTGTGTGTTGAGGTGTGTACTGACTTTCAGGCATTAGCTTAACAAAACAGCAGCAGCTCTTCTTATAATTTTTTTTCTATGGGGTAGTTTGCTACAGCAGAGAACTGTGCTTTAGAGTGTTATGAAAATCAGTACAGAGTTTATACAATTTCTTATAATAAGCAACTGTTTTTAATATTTGTTGCTATAACAGAAGACTGTACATAGCTCTGCTTTGTTCTATGAACAAGGAGGCTCTGCCGAGCTCTCTAGTCCACAGGAAGTTAGCTTGAGTGTCAGTTAACCAAGGTAATCAATTATTAAAAGCCTATTACTTATAATACAAGGAATACCTTCATTTTTATGACTCCCATATAAATATTTTCATATGATGTGTTTCTTTAGCCTTTACCTTGACTGAAACAGTAACTTACTAGTAGTATTCATAGTCTCCTCCTATCAGGTCTATTGGGTGGATCTGAGGGAAGTGACTGATATTCAATTTATCTCAATTGCAATGCCTTCAACTGTCTGTGGCTTCAAATAGGGAATTCTATTGCCTATGCACCACTGTTATCCTCAATAGATTCTCTGGAAGGCCATTTTTAGTCCATTACATATGAATTCTATAGTTCATAAATTTGTTGAAATGAAGGCTGTCTCTCAGGCAGAAAAGATATTCCATCTCCTAAAGGCTTGCATTACTGCTATATAGCAACCATCTGAGCTTGCAGAGGTATTGGGCAGACTGATGATCATATGTATATCTCCACATTCAGATCTGATAATGTAAAGGTTACAAATCAAATGGCAATTTAGAAATCAAGTCAACATCACAAATTGTCTCATCTATCCATCGAAGGTATAATGCTGCTCTCATATAATTCCTTTATTAAGTTAATTTTTTTTTCCTGGTCTCAGAATTATACTGCCTTCTGTATCTAGGCAAGAGCACACAAATGATGTTTCCATTATTATTACTTTTGTCCCATATGTTTGCACAGTGATTTACATTCAAATAAAATGACAGATCCATGCCTCAAGCAGCTTGCAATTTAAAGGGCCACTTTGAAGAACGTTAAGTTTACATTTAGGCCTTGTTTGCAGGCTTTCGCGTGCACATGGCATGAGAGTGCATGTCATGCTCCTCCTCTTTGAGGAAGCACAGCAGTGAAACATATGAATGTTGCACGCCAAAAGATGATGATTACTCAAGAGCTCAGGTTATATTTTAGAACAGGATATGGTGCATATCCCTAATATTTTCATTCTAATCTAACCTTCTGAGAGCACAAAGTGAATTTCCTACTGTATTTACCTTTGAGTAGATCAGTAGGTCACAGCTAAATTGTTTTATTACTGTTTGGTATAATAAAGTATTCTTACCTGTCTCTCAGTTGAGAGTGACTCCAATGCCCACATATATCTTCAATTCCAGCCTTCAAGTGATCCATCATCTAGAGAAAAAAATACAACAAACCAATGGTAACATGATATCAATGTCAAAACAATTCTTCGGCAATTGAAGATCAGATTCTAAGGAATTTAGATACTGATTCAAATTAAACAACATAGAAAATCTAAAATTTTATAAAAATCCAGACAAACTTCCCAATATGCCAAGGTCTCAGATCAGACAATCTTATGGAAAAATAAAAAGATCAATACAAGTAAATCTGCTACTAATTACCAGAATTTACAGGCACATTGATGTGTTTTCAGCACAATAAGGTGGGACCTCAGGAGAAACAGCTTTAAAATTCCAGTTATGACAGTCAAATTACTGTAAGTAATACTATTTTAGATAAAATCATATCTGGCTTCAATATAAAGATAAAAGCACTGAAGTTAATTTCAGGTCAAATTAAAGTTAGCTGCTAACATCTACATATGTGCTTAACTTTAGACATATAGTAGTCCCATTAATTTCAGTGGGACTACTCATGGGTAAATGTAACCACGTTTAAGTGTTTTGTAGAGTTTTGTTAAGCTAGTTTAACAACCTTCCCTCTATCCTACCTGTACGTATTATGGGACTTAATATACTTAAAGTAAAATGTTTCAGAAGAAAATAAATCTTCCAAAATGACTGAGCGTCTTTCAAAATGAATCCTGAGGTTTTATTCACTTTTAATCAACAAAACAGAGAATCCTGATTTAAAACTTTTCTGTTTTTAGTATGCACTGAGGCTGGTCAAAAGATGGTAATGGGATGAGCCACATCTCTGCTCCATTGCTGCTTGGCATGGTGTAAGCAGCAGTGGAGACAATGAAGGGGCCTAACTGCAGATTCAGGAAAATGACTCTCTGCCTCATTTTACACTCGGTTCACATTTGGAAATCCTTCTTCTCAAGCATAAGGACAAGAAACACTTTAATGAGAACTTGGATTTTGCAGAAGTTGGTGGCACTTGCTGGGAAAGATGCCTGCTCACTATGGTTGTGTCTACACTGCAATCAGCGGTGTGACTGCAGCACATGTAGACCTAATCTGAGCTAGCTTTGACCTAACCTCGCTGGAATAACCATAGCATGTGAAGCCGCAACAGCACAGACTGTACAAGCCCACCTGGGTACGTAGTTGAGCAGTTAAACCCACGCTGCTGCAGCTTTGCTGCTATTGTCATTCCAGCTAGCTAGATCAAAGCTTGCTTGGGTATGTCTCTGTGCTGCAGTCACATCACTGATTGCAGTGTGGATATACACTATGTGTGAGCTGGTGAGAGGATTTTTCAAACCTGACTATTGTTATGGTGCTGGGATTTTTCTTAATAGCAACAAAGTGTCAAGATAGAAAGGCTGGAATCCGATTGCTACATTGTTCCATTGTTTTGCCTTTATAAAAAGTTCCGTTCTGAAATTATGAGGTGGCATCCATATCCAGAGGATGTCAGATATTACTTTACAACAGCTTCTTTGGACTCAAACACCATCCAATATTTTTATTAAGATATTTTGGTTGGGATTTGCAAAGGAGCCTAAGTGGCTTATTTGCCCAATGAATTTCAATGGGAACTGGGTGCCTAACTCTCTTGGGCTAATTTGGAAATCCCATTCATTCTCTTTCTAGCATACATGCATCCGATGAAGTGAGCTGTAGCTCACGAAAGCTTATGCTCAAATAAATTGGTTAGTCTCTAAGGTGCCACAAGTCCTCCTTTTCTTTTTGCGAATACAGACTAACACGGCTGCTACTCTGAAACCTTTCTAGGATACAGTTCATCAATAAAGACAACTTACTCGTACATGAACCTCTTCATTGATAGACTCTTTCTTGTTGGTCTTTTTAACATCTAGATACTTGACCAATGGACCAATTGTGATTCCCTGTATTTAGAAAAATGAGTGAGAAAGTTAATTATTGTTTGAAACAAGCATGTAAAAGGCAAAAGATGAAGTGACTATTTTTTAATCAACCATGAAAACTGTGTCTAGAATACAGGGCTTATTTGTTGTTAGTTGGGCTGGTTAGAAAATGGAGCTGGAGAACAATTTCTGGGAAAAAGTGTCCTTTTTCTTTAAAATCAAAATTACATTTTCTAACCAACTGTAAGAATTAGTTTCTGTAAACTACCTGGCCTGCTAATCACTCATACCAAGCTAATATTTCATTCCAGAGGGAAAAAATAGTTTCAACAATATCAAAGCATCCTGTTTTGACAGTTTTTGAAAGAAATGTTTTGATTTTTAAAACTGTATACTATAAAGTAATATAATTGTTTAAAAGATTATATCAAAACAAAATGATTCACCCCAAACAGTTTTTTTTTAAGGATTTTAATTTGTAGAGAATTTCTAAATTGTGGGGTTTCATTCCTAATCAGAACAAAGATAAATGTTGAAATCACAAAACCCTTCACAAAATGAAATTTCCATCCTGCATAGCTCTAGTTATGACACAAGGGGAACGACTACTCTTGTATATCAGAGTACAAGGTGAAGTAGAAAATTGGAACATTTTCAGAAGAATTTTTAAGGGAATCTGTTTTTTAAATACTTCCAGTGGTGCAGTTACTAAAAATTTTTTTTCTTATAGTTTCAGTTAAATAATAGAGCAAAGGGTTATTGTGTTACAGCTGGAGACTCTATCCAGCAACTAAAGTATAAAATAGAAGGATTTAATCCTGATTTAAGTGCAAATCTCAGTGCAAGCTTAACTATGAATCCTCTAAGCATCTCTGTTGTATGAAATGAACCCATTATGAAACCTACTTACCTGAATGAACACAGTGAAATATATAACTACAAGAGTAGCTGTAATGAACATGTTCTTTCTAGGGAAGAGATACCTAGGAAGCAAAAATGCAAGAGAGAAACTACTGGCTCCTCGAAGGCCACTGTAGGCAATAATGAGCTGGTCTTTAATGGTGAAGGGATAAGTCCGAAACTTGTTGCTGATATAAAAGAGAGCAAACACACCTAGGAGGGAGGAAAAACTATTGTTAACCAAGTTACAAAGAGAAATACTTTAAGTGCAACAGCATCTTTAGCCTTTAAGCTGTGAACACTGTTTTCTTTGCAATTGTGGGTGCTTGTAACTTTTCTGCTCATTTTTGAGCTATTTTTAAATATACTATAAATGTGATGCCGCCTTATGAGCAATTAACACAATCTTCTAATGTAGGTTTCTAAATGTTTTGTATTTTACTTTGCTGAGTAGGATCAGAAGATGAAATAAGTGATATTATCCACCACCATTTGTATTTTAGACAGGTCTTCCACTGAGGTTATCTGATGACATCCTAGATAAGATCTCTTCCTACTTTTTCCCCTATAATGTTCTTCTAAGCATTTCTTCTTCCCTTTCACTCCAATGCATTTTGGTCCCCTTCTAAGTTACTCCAGACACTTTCCCCACACAGTAGAAGACCAGTGTGTTTGAACAGTTTTGACAGTTGCATATAATATACTGATGAAAAAGACAGCAAAGTTCAGTATCAATGAGTAACAGAGATGGAAAGACATACCAAAGATCACCCAGCAAACCAGGGGCAGAGCTGGGAATAGAGTCCAGGACTCCTGAGTTGCAGTCCAGTGCTCTTCACTGACTCCCTTTAAAGGTACTCGGTAACAAAACGGCTATAGTGGAAGCTGCTTAATTCTCCTGATTTGTTTTGCGTTTAATTAAAGGTAAAACTAATGTGACCCTCTATATAACAGAGGTGACCCTTGCGGTCCCTTCTAACCCTATGATTCTATGTGGCTGGGTGTGGACTGCAGTTTCTGCCTACAGTATATTTAGTTGCTTGCTTCTCCCCCCCCCCCCCCCCCCATTACCCTCTTGGGTCCTTTTCCAACAGCTTTATTTTCTTAATGAAATGCCCTTGTATCTATGTTTCATATTTAGCACCATGACACATGTAAATAATGAATAGTTATAATTAGAAAAAATCCATTTTATAAATCAACACTATAATAAGCTTATTGTATTATAGGTGGGTCTCAACACTACAAAGGTTGCATGTCACTTCCCATTATGAGATCCTGTTTCCAGTTGCTTATAGCTTTGTCAAACTTCATCCATTTGGGCTGAAGTTTTCCATGCTGGGTGTCCAACTCAGGGTGACTGGTGACCTTTTATTTGAAAAACTCTAGAACCCCCATGTGTTGGAACAGGGCCTTGAAATTAGTAGGGAGGTGGCCTTTGTGTCAGGGATGTGCCTTTTGCTGTCCCTATTAAAAATTGCTTGCATGTGGCAAAGTTATAAAATTGTAAAAATCTCAGTTTTCACATGCTCAGAGACTTTTTTTTCCCCCTTAAGCTCTCAGAGGATTCCATCCTCACTGAGCATGCTCCAGCGTCTCTCAGCTCCTAGCATTGAGCAGACTGCATGGACCATCAAAGAGTAATTGAACCTAGTCCATCCTCTCACTATTCCAATTGTGACCAGGCTGTGCCTGCACCATCCCCACAGAGATAATGAGCATGCTCCAGACCAGGGCTACAGGAGCAAAGCTGGAATTTCCCTATAGTGGCAAATCCCAACTGCTCCCAGGGTGAGGCCAGGCATTGGAACAGAGAGCACAGAGCCTCTCTCCTGTGGTCTCTGCAACCCCTCCTGCTGGCACCCATGCAGTGCAGAGAAGAAAACCACCTAATTTGAATGCAGAAGGGACAAAAGCTGAATCAAGGAGGAGGGAGAAGAGCAGATGGAGACAAGGAGACTAAAGAGGGGGAGAAAAACTGGGAACATCTGGGCACTGAGATTGACTGGGAGCCAGGAAAGAGAGGGAGAAAGGCTGGGACTGGTTAGGCAAGAAGACTTTCTTCCTCTTTCCTGGCTCCCAGTCATAGTCTTCTTGCTCAACCAGTCCCAGCCTATGACTGAGAGCCTTGGACAGGGATTCAGTGAAGACAGCTGGGGCAGGGAGGCTGGGTCTCAGTTGGCTGCAAGGGAGGAACAGTGAGACTGTATGAGGAGCTGCAGACAGGGGAGGAGACTGGGACTGGCTGGGCAAGTAAACTGGGATCAGATGTAGGAAAGGAGAGAAACTGGGAGTGGACAGGGAGATTGGGGCTCAGTCAGCAAGTCAAGAGGTGGAGACTAGAACTCTGGTTCAAGCCTGAGGAGAGGAGAATGGAGTGGGATAAGGAGCCAGGGGTGGCAAAGAGACACAGTTGGGATGGGGACAGGTTGTGGGGGATGGAGCAGAAGGGGTCACACTTAAGAGCAGAGGGCAGAAGAGTCTGTACCCACTAGAGCACGCTCCCCTCCTGAATCTGGAAGATCCCCAAGATTCACCATTTCTCTACTGTCAGCAAATATCTGTGAAATCCACTGGCAAAATCTTATACCCCTCTACTGCTGGGCCACATAGAGGACATCAACCTACTATTGCTATCAGTTCAAGTGGCAGAGATCTGTGAGGTGGATAGAAAGGTTCTAACCTGACTGACCACTTGGGTGTCAATATGATGGAATGTGTTTTTTCAGTTTGCTTTATTTAAAAAATGGAGATAACTGCACAATAAAATCATGCATTAAGCTTGCAAAGTCAAAAGTACTCAGAAATTAAGAAATGCCAAATCTAAGGTTGCCTCTGCAACTTTAATCTGCCCCCTTCTGCATAAGCATTTTGGTTTGATCTTTAATTACATGACACATACTATTTTTTCCATAGGACCCGTTTCATTCAGTGATATATAAAATAACATACAAATAAGGAATAATGGTGTCTGAATGCAATGTACTTACTAGCTAGTTGTTTTGGGAATTGTGCCCTATTAGTAGTAACACTTAAATTTACACTGTGCCCAATCTTAGGATCTGGCTCTGGGGCAAAGTTAGCTGTATGCTACCTCTCCACTTCCCCAATCCTGGAGTACCAGGAGCCAATTCAACTACCAGCGTACGTCAGAGCAGCCTCAGGGCTGGGTTGCTAGCCAGGGATCATGAGTGTTCTGCCACACCTTTTCCATTTTGACCATGGGACCAACTCACCCTAACCACTGGAGAGCTTGGGAAGGGCTGGGGTAAAGCTGGTTATGCGAGTTTTACCTCACCTGGAGATTTCCTCCACCCGTGCCACCTGAGCTAAAGGGAAGGGCTTTACAGGAGTGGTGCCAAAGGGCTGGGATCTCGATTCAGTGTATAGTACTTTATTTACTTTAAGAATAAATTTAAATAGCTAATATTCTCTCTCTGATTAAAATTGCCGAGATACATTCAAATTGCCAAAAATAGATAAGGAACCATTCAGGATCTCGTTCTATTGGTAAATTAACCACATTCTAAAATGAAACTATTATGAAGCCCACTTACCTAAATAAACATAGTAATAACAGGGCCAGCCTAAATATAAACATAATGATGGAAATGGTTTAATTTTATTTAAAAGTTTCCCTTCTCACTGAATCACAAAATCCAGCTTCAGGTATTAACTTTTGAGTTGTTTGTTTTCCCCTGCCAGTTCAGTATTAGTATTTGTGAAATTACCTGGTCAGTAAACCTATTAAACTCATTATTAAACAGGTTATACAAGTCAGCACTACATTTCCTAGCCTACCTTTGCACTGACTACTTTCAAAGACGCAAAGCACCACATTTATCCAGGCTGGCTATGTTAAAATACAGTATTTGGCTCTTACTTAGTGCCCGCCAAATCAAGCAGAAGAGCAGAGTGAAGGAAACAAAGGCCCAGTTCCACTCGTGGTTCCTTCCAACTGTGGACACTCCCATGAACACAAAAATCAGGGTCTCGCTGATACTGCTCAGCATCTTCATGAAGTACTTTATGGTTGTGTAGGAATTCTGGGAAACATTCTCCTCCACATATTTTTTCATAGTCACTGCACATGCCGTCATCCTGTTCAGTCAGAAACACCATGCAAAGCATTAGGTATTGGTTGGCAGGGGTCATCTGTGTTTACTGTCTTAAAAGAGAGGCTTTGCTAACTACTTCTGCTTGAAGACTAGTTGAATCCACACTGTCTGCTCATCTCCTTATTTGGGCCCACACATGGGTCAGATTCTGAGACCTTTCCTCATGCAATACCTTCCTCCTTAAATTGAGCCAGTGATTTCAATGGGACTACCTGAGGAGTAAGGGACTGTGTAATGGTATAGATATTGAATCTGGCCCTATTGGTGTATCCCATATAAAGGAAAAGAAAAGGAGCTAGAGTTTGCCAACCTTACTCAAAGTGCATCTGGTTCAAAGTCCTTTTTGTTTTGAATGCACAACAAATACCAATAAAGGGACAAACTCATGGCTTTGCCACCAGCACCAAGCAAGGAACAATGCATTGTCGTGCTGCCCTGGGAGCAGACCCGTCAGCGCCACACTCTGCCTCCTAGTAACCCCTCACTCTGGTGTGGCAGAGGAGGAGCCCTGCATTAGCCCTACACCTGGCACAGAGTGTTTCCCCCCTCACACGCACACACACCAGATAGCCAGCATATTAGGGGGTAGAGACCTAGCTCCAGTGATTCTCCACCCCTCCCTGACCACTGCTGTTCGCAAGCATCACAGGAGGAAAGGCAGCAGCAGCCCTGCAGAGGCTGCTCTCTCCTTCATAGCAATCCAGCTTGCACGGGGCAGTGAAGGGACACCTTACAGCTTCTTACTTCTCTGCTTGGCTGCATGAACCAGGCCCCCATCTGGCCCAAACACATCAGTAAACAATGTGGGACAGGCGCTGATACTATTACTCGTACTATATAGCACCTTACTCTCAAATGGGAGATAATGAGACTTCTTATGGAGTAAGGTACAGTAGAACCTCAGAGTTATGAACAACAGAGTGATGAACTGACCAGTCAACCACACACTTCATTTGGAATCGGAAGTACACAGTCACGCAGCAGCAGAGACCAAAAAAAGACACTCCCCCTTCCCCTTCTCTTCCCCGCCCCCCAAAGCAAATACTATACAGTATGATGTAAGAGGTAAACTACTAAAAAAAAAATTAAGGGAAAGCAGCATTTTTCTTCCGCATAGTAAAGTTTCAAAGCTGTATTAAGTCAATGTTCAGCTGTAAACTTTTGAAAGAACAACTATAATGTTTTGTTCAGAGTTAAGAACATTTCAGTTACAAACAACCTCCATTCCCGAGGTGTTTGTTACTCTGAGGTTCTATTGTACTTCCTAGCATGAGTATCCTACTGCATGGCAGATTTTGTGTTCTCTGTTAAATCAGCAGTCAGGCATTCTCCCAAGGCTTCCTCATTTCTGTGCGCTCTCTACAGCTTAAAGGAAACTGTAAGTAAATAGGCAGGTTGAATGCTAAACTGATAGATCGCCCAGTATGTCACCTAGCTGGTTTCCATCTATAACATTTTAGTCCTATCTGCCTTCTACATGGCAATAGTTTTCTAATCTTGCGTGCGCAGAATATTCTGAGTGTTCCTCAAGTCTCCCATTCGTTCCACCTAGACAAAGCTACAGGGTGGTCTGGAGGAACAGAGACATTCAGCAGGTCCAAGGGCATTCTAAGACAAGATCAGTAGACTTTAATGTTTAATACTGTTAGCTTTTCAAGATATATGCATAGTAAATTTTCATAACCCAAGTGGAAAATGAATGAATTCATCAATAATTCAATTGTGCAATGGTAAGTTCCCATCACTAAAATAAGCAATATTATATTTAATAGGCTAGTAAGAGGAGTAAACCCTGATTATATTAATATTATTTTATTACTAATAATTTCAATAAACTAATGAAAATAAGAAGCATGTGAAATAAAGTTCTGTATATTTTAAAATAATGAATATTCACAGAGGTGGTTTGTATGGTACAGGAAGACTGATCAAATCTGTAACTGGGGCATATAATAAATTAATATTCAGCCCTGATAGGACCTGATCCTGAAGTCAATGAGAGCTTTGGCAATTACCTATATACCATATATTAGTGGGCAAAACATGGACCAGGATGTGGGTCGCTTTGCAACGGGATGTAAATAGCCACACAAGGTATAAAACAGTGGAGAACAGGATTAGAATCATATATACTCTAATAATTAGATTGGAATAAGAAGCATCTAAATATTGCATTATAAATGCACTTGGAGTATGAGGATAGGTACTTTATATATGTATCTAATTAAACAATTGGGTTAAACTTTCAAACACAGGCACCTCAGATGATCCTGCACGGTCTGTGTGCATACAACCCCATCTTTGCACAGAGACTGTAAACTGGTGTTTGTGAACAAATCAGGGTCTGAGACGTGCAGTGACAGCTAATGTACAATTTTTGCACTCATAATGGCAGTATACTTTTTTATGCATGTGCAGTGTATTGGAGGTGCCCATGTTCCCTCCATTCAAACATTTGTCCCCATTAAGTAAGAATCCTCCCTGGAGGTAGCCTTCACTCATTCAGGGGCAGCAGGCTCTGTGAAGTCCCATCCGCACCTCATTCATGTGCGCTCGGGGTAGGAAAAAAAACCCCTGGTGTTGCCAGCCCAGGAGTCAGAGATTGAACTCAGCACCAGCCAGAAGAATTATCTGTAGAACTGAGGATGTCACCAGACTGCCACTTCAGTTTTTACTTTAGTATTCTTTCCTCTCAATTGATTGGCTGTTTGCTCCAACTCCCTCCCACATCCTCACCTCCCATTCCCTTTGCTGCGCCTCACTCTCTCTGCCCTGCATGCACCTCTCCATTCCTCCCTCAATCCTTTCACTCTTCTTTTCTATCCCTGTACCCCTTGTTATCCTCCCGTCAGTGTCCTCTCTCTCTCTCCCTTTGTGTTTAGTGTAAATTATAGTCCTTTGTGACCTTCCCTCGTCATCTCACACCTGTATATTCATAACACATTTGGGACCAGACATAGAACTATTTCAAGGTTACTGTAGTGAAGTGTCTGGCCTTTAATCAATGGCACCATTGCTCTTTACAGAGCATGGTGTATGCACTGATGAGTTCTTTAAGGGCTGCTGAGTCCAATGCACGAGTGACAGTCTCGTCCACAGGTAAGGCACACCCACATACTAGCAATGCTCTGATTCCGAGCAGCAGATTCTTTCCTCCTCTGACGTCAGTCATCACAAAGATTGATCCAGTCCACCTTGCCATGCCTTGCTCCATTAACAAGCCGACTCTGTCAACCAGAGTGGCATTCTGCACTTCTTTCCCAGTCATGCAAAGACAGTCTAAGGATACTAAGTCATCTTTGCAAGCATCCCAAAATCTGCATAGCGGTCTGCCTCTCTTTCTTTGTGTACAGCACACTCTTTGTGTACAGCACGCTCTTTAGGATCCTGTAATGTAATGTAATGTAATCTGGCATTCACTTGACATGTCCAAGTCTTTTCTTACTGATCAACATGCCAATGAATGACATATCAGTACCATTTAACACTTTCACATTTATCACTCTGTCTTGGCTTTTTAATGTGCATGTGTTTGTTTAATGCTTCTGAGTTTTATATTTGGGCCAGATTTAGTTCCAAGTTACACAAAATTAATTTAGGTGTAATTCCACTTAAATTAGTTGAGTTCAATTGATATACATTGCTGTAACTGAGTGCAAGATCTGGTCTATTATTCTTTGTTCTTTTGATATTAACAATGTTGTATATAACTACCTCCCTCTCATAAATTATTGGGATGCCACATAGAAATAAATATTAGAGCATAAGTTGGTCTGGTATCCGATCATGCTGTGTTTAAACAGATATATTAGCAGACCAGGTGGCACATTTAGGCCCATAAAGAATCACAACTGGAAAAAAAAATGGGATGGGGGCAGCAGAAATCATTATACCAGTTCCAAGCACCTTGAAGTTGTCAAGAATGGAATTCTATCCCTGGGAGGCATTTGAAAATTCTTATTTGATACTCACGCCAGAATGCCTGAGATGTAGACGGTTTCAGCAGACAAATATGACAAATAGCTGAACATGAAGACAAGCAGCGGTTCAATGGTAGAAATGTTCTGAGTAAATCGAGTCATGAATGCCGAAACAAATCCAAACACGATGCCAACCAGCACTCCGCCTAGTCCCACTACAAAGAAACGAGCAACTCCAGCAAGAACATCAGTGGGTTTAATCTCTTCGTATCGGTGCATCTGGGTGAAGGTGAGTAATATGTTATATAACACCTGTATGCAAAAATAATGGACAGCAAATTAAAAATCTTTCAAAACTAGTTTTTCCTCAATATTTTTAGTGGTATGTGCCACACATTGTATTATACTCATCTTGCTTAGCAAAATTGTAGTTTAAATCTGAACATATCCTTAAGAGGCCCCAGAATTATCTACCTGGCTGGGATCCTAAAACTAATGAAGAAATGGTACAAAATGCCAGTCAATGTAAAATGTATCATGTAAAAATAGTAAGACAGTAATCTGGGACACCCCATGTGTGCAGTATATGGAATGTATGATGTTTTCAGAAAGTACATGATGCATCAGACACCATAAAATATGTAGCAAAGAAAGTGCTCAGAAGCACCGTGATGGGTGAGGTAAGAACTTAAGACTCACACTGAATCAAATCGAATAGACTAGAATAGAAGCTAGGCAACTCCAGGTTCATACTGGCGGTAGATAAACACTCAACTCATAGTTCAGTATGCAATAGTTGTTATTAAATATAATAGAACTCTTATTTAACCAACTTTTATTACCTTGCCTTAATAATATAGTAATTACAGTCTGTTATGTGATGGCTATTGATAAATTTGTACAGTGGATTCGTAAAAATGTCAAAAGGGCATTGTCAAGGCACTTTTCAAAAGTTTGAAAATACTTTTTTTTATTTACTATTTACTTATACGAGCCTCTTGAAGCTCGCTGGAAACTAACATCTATTCCACTATGCTTACATGGGTTTTATATTGCAGATAACTAAAGCAACAGCAGCACAAGCTTCCCAACACTGCTACTGGTGAAAGGGTTATTCAGTCTCCAGGCCCATTCATTCTTTGACCTCTCTTTTGAAATTGTCGCAGGGATTCCAGTTGTGTCAAGGACAGTCATCCTCTAGGAACTGGATTGAAGCCATCAACTCCCCTGAACCATCCAGTTCCCTATATATCGTACATTAATGACACAGCAGTCATTCTCAAGGTAGCCACTACAAACCTATTAGTGATTTGACATTTTTAAGGGTATAAATAGCTAATTAAATTATTTATTTTGGTTAAGGAGCTTGAAATACTGAAAAAACAATGTGAGGTTAGGTAGTAGATTATGCTCAGAACATTACACACTGGGTCTGTAGGGTTGATTTTTATTAAATATAGGTCAGATGCTTAATTATCATGCTTTTGTTAAGAATAATTTCTATTCTGAAAAATGCATGATAAAACTCTCCTTCAGGATTTTCCATTTTCATCCACTTATCAAATGGCAATGGAAGTGTTCAGCAGGGCAGTATGAGGGTATTGATTAAAAATATGTAAGAGTTTTTGACTACTAGCTGATTATAAATCCTATTGTACCTGTTACCAATGAATAATGATCATACCAGATTCACTTCCAGGTTTTAAAAGTCAGTTTGGAAAAGTCTAAAGTCACAAGTTTGCCACAATTTTTGCCACTGATGGCATTAGTCCCTAACACTCTCCTGTTTAAAACAAGCCAAAAAGGCTTCACATATCTGGTGGTGTTTAGTTTTTTTTCTTTGCCTAACTAATTTCAGAAGGCTATTTAATGAGATTAAAGGAGATATTTGCTTGTCAAAGGCTCCAACTCATTAAAGACGATAATTATTCTTCAGATATTATCTAGTTTTAATTGCTTCCTGGGAACATTTAACCGTAAGCTGTCATACAGTAGATTCTCAAGGATGCTCATTGTTACGAGATGACAGGAAACACACAATAAAATGTTCTAGATGGCAGCTTCCTACAAATAAGGGTAATTCACTTTTCCAAACTGTGAAGTGTGGAATTGTGCTTCTCAGTAGCAGATCACTGAAGCAGGATACGAGTACACATGCGGCCTCACTGTACAGTACTTGAGTCACAGCAGCTGTTCTCTAACTACTCCCCGTTTCTTGATGATGATACCCTGTCTCCAGCATAGATTTTTGAAAGTGGGCAGTTGGTACCCAGTGCTGATTGTGCACTGTTGAGTTTAGAGCTGGGCAGACTATTTTCAGGGAATAACTTCTAGCATTTGGCCCTTTTCCTGTTCCTGAATTGTCCGTTGTCACACAATAGCACAATTTCCATGAGTGTGTTCATTGTGTGCATTCGTTGCTAAATGCTTCATGAAAAAGTATTTCAGCCATGGATTGATCACTAACTAGGCACAATGAGTATTTGCTAGTCATTTAAGTCACATGGTATTGCTTCTGTTCCATAAATGGATTGCCATAATTCTTTTAGTGGCAGGAAGGCCTGAATCAGCCTCTGGTGCTTTGATTCACTCAGGGAGAAGGCAGGGTCATTTTATGGAGAGGTAGCAGGTCTTATTTTAAGAATTTTTAAACCTGGTGCTTTCGGCTTTTGCACAAAAACATTATATTCTAGCTAAACACCTGGAGGATGCATTTTAAAATACCTGGCTTCTTTTTGACTGAGGGCAAAGACATAAACTACTGAAAGCAAGATTAACTGGCACTTTACATAAGATTTTACAAATGATTTCCTGTGTCGTGTTCACAAAACAAAATTGGCTTTATGCTGTCTAATTTGTGAAAAGGCAGAGCAGCAAACACTGCAGAAGCACATGGCAGCTATGATGGATCCGATGAAGTGAGCTGTAGCTCATGAAAGCTTGTGCTCAGATAAATTTGTTAGTCTCTAAGGTGCCACAAGTCCTCCTTTTCTTTTTGCGAATACAGACTAACACAGCTGCTACTCTGAAACCTCTGAGATCTGTAGATTCTAGGGGTTGAAACCACTGTCCATTCAGCAGGGGGAAATCCCCCCTCTGCCCCGAATGGAAGAATCTGATGGGAACTCAAGGGAAGGAAGCTTGTGAACTTTTTCTGTCCCCTACTAAGGCTTTTCTCTTTAGGGGAATAATCTTGCCTCTTTAATTAGACAGGAAGTCTGATTCTCTACTGCCTTGCACCCTGTGTAGTTTCCAGTATAAAGTGAGTGGTTGAATCCAACAAAGGTTAATATATGGCCCATAGTGAGTTGTGACACCCTATACCTCAAAGCAGCACCCTGGAACCCCCATATTCACCACTGTCATATAATGATATATTTTGCACAAAGTATGCCTTGTGATGTATCTGTTGAACATTAATATCTTCTTGGATTGCATGTACTATCATTCTATGCGAAGGTATGACCTATAGCTATAGGTGTTACAGAACTATGTTGTGAGGATGGGAACACCCATAGTCAGCCTGTCAGTTACGATAAAGGAGTAGCTATCACCGGCCAGATGAGCATTAATGACTCATCAACACCCAATCCACTACCCAGAGACTTCTCCACAAAGGCATGTATATGTGTGCCATGGGGGCGGACTAACCCACCTCACAGCAAAGACCTTTCCAGCAAGCTGGAAGCAAGTATAAAAGAGAGACAGTGACATCATCATTTGGCCTCTTCCGCCCGCCCGCCTATCTCAACACCTGGAAGAGCATCTGGAAGACAAAGACTTTGAACTGGGGAAGTTCAATCCCAGGCTGGAAGGCAGTCCTATCTGTGTATTGAGGAATTGTAACCTGCTTGCACCTTCTGTTAGGGTGAGACACTACAGTCTCTATGCAAAAGAATAAATGGACACAAATCTGACATCAGGAATCATAACATTCAAAAACCGGTAGGAGAACACTTCAACCTCTCTGGCCACTCAGTAAAAGATTTAAGGGTGGCAATTTTGCAACAGAAAAGCTTCAAAAACAGACTCCAACGAGAAACTGCTGAGCTTGAATTAATATGCAAGCTAGATACCATTAACTTGGGTTTGAATAGAGACTAGGAGTGACTGGGTCATTACACATATTGAATCTATTTCCCTAAGTTAAGTATCCTCACACCTTCTTGTCAACTGTCTAAATGGGCCATCTTCATTATCACTACAAAAGTTTTTTTTCTCCTGCTGATAATAGCTCATCTTAACAAATTAGCCTCTCACAGTTTATATGGCAACTTCCAACTTATATCTTCTTACTATATGTTCCATTCTATGCATCCGATGAAGTGGGCTGTAGCCCACGAAAGCTTATGCTCTAATAAATTTGTTAGTCTCTAAGGTGCCACAAGTACTCCTGTTCTTTTTGTGTATACAGACTAACAAGGCTGCTACTCTGAAAACTGCTTGATTCAAATCTTGCCTACTCTGTTAAAATTAGAATTTAGAGTGTGTTTCTATTTTTAGTTGTTAGGTAACCAACTTTGATCTCTCTGCCTGCTACTAATAATCTCTAAAAATCTTTCTGTAGTTAATAAATCTGTTTTTATATTTTACCTAAAACTGTGTTTTCATTGAAGTGCTTGGCAAATCTCAGCTCGGACTACAAAGGCTGCTGCATGTTCATTCCACACTGAGGGAAGGGCAAACTAGGTAATGAGCTGACATTGGTCAGGCTTCTGACTAGTACAAGACAAGATGGTACAGTTCCGGGGTGCAAGGCTAGGGAGCTGGGGGGGAATTGGCAGGAGATTCCCTATTGATGGTTCATGAGTGGCTGAGAGATCATTCATGTAACTCAGGTGGGTGTGTCCCTGCCTGTGAATGTCTGGGTAAGTGCAGTGTCTGTCAGAGGCTTGTAGCTTGACATCAGCATCACAGTGTGAGAGACAACCCAGGCTGGCAGGTTTGGAGGGCTCAGGAGTCCCACAGGTTGCACCCAGGTGATCCTGTCAGAGTGAGAAGAAGATATTTTATATTATATTGCAGTTTTCCTTTAAGACATCAATCCGATATTACATTTATATTCTTTCATTAAAAGAAATATCTTCAGGATTTTGTTTGATAGAGGTTTTGAGGAAGGTTGAGGTATTTGGAGGGTACTATTGGTAAAAAGGAGCTTTTCTACTGTTTTGAGTTATTAAATGTTTTAATGTATTTGTATTGACTGAGTTAATTTATTACCAGAGTATGACTTTTAGGTTGTGGTGTGGTCATAGTTATGTGATTATAAATTTAATTAAGTTCTATGTTAGGCATTCTACAGCTTTTTGTAAGGTGTTGTGGTTGGTGTCTACATTAGGCTTGGCAAGCCAGTCAATTGACTAGTCAAATCATGTAAATTGACCAGTCAATTGACTGCCTATTATTTGACCCTGGTCAAATATTGTCAAATATTCCAGCAAGAATTCCCTGGTGCAGGTGGCAGCCTATCTGTTTGATTGCATCATGGTGCCAATTTTTCATTTTCTAGAACATTTTTCATTGTGTTTTGCACTTCTCTGTGTTAAAATAACTCAGATAAGGAACTTGTTTTTGTGATTAGGCCAAAGTAACTATCTAAGGATAAACCTCATGGAGCCTATAAAGTCATATTCTTTTTGATTGCTGTTCTAATAAATTAGCACTTTAAAATGTTTGGCCATTATTTGACGATATTTGACTGGTTTTAATTGACCAATAATTTTTGAATCAGTCAAAATGCCCAAACCTACTCTACATCTAAATAATTTTTAAAAAATTATTCTCAAACTTTTCAAACTTGTTTTTGGCACAGTGCAAAACAGGAGTAACTTGAAAGGGTGATTTTTCTATGTTCCAGTGGCTGTATTCGAGTAGACACTTGTATTATTCTGAAATCAAAATATATTATTCATTGAATCTTTACCTACATGATCCATTATGTATATAGTTCATTTATATTCATTGACTTTACCTCCCCATTCTCTATAGACACAATTATGTTGCTAATACACAGCTCATAGCAAGCAGTAGAAGAGCTGGCTGATGGAAGTCTTGAGCCTTTTCATCTTTCTCATGCAGAGAGTTCTTGTGAAGGTAATGGCACAGCTTGAATAGGTAAGGTGACCATGATTTGGCCTCCAGTCACTTAAATAGGAATATTTTCCAAACCATTATTTCAATTCCACAGGTTTTTAGGGATTTTTTTCCCACTAAAGTAGTAAATTTTATATATATTTCTACATTAAATATCATATTTTACATAAGAAATGGCAATATAGCCATTTCTTGTATAAAATGCAAACACAGCAGAACTCTTAACAGCTTTTCCTGAATGTAGAATACAAAATTTCATTCAACCTGATAAAAATGTAATGTCTTTTTTAAAAGCGACTGTTATAACGAAAGGACACCAGTCATTAGTGTGCTACCTCAAAAGCAACATACATACAGATTTAAGTAGCAAGGATTTATCACGTGCATCATTAACTTTAAAATCTTTTCATCCTGGTTGGGGAATCGGGAGCTGTCAAGGTTTCTTCCCCACTCTGAACGCTAGGGTACAGATGTGGTGACCTGCATGAAAACCTCCTAAGCTTACTTTTACCAGCTTAGGTTAAAACTCCCCCAAGGTACAAACTATTTTACCCTTTGCCCTTGGACTTTCGCTGCCACCACCAAACATCTAACACTGGTATTATTATTATTAGGAAAGAGTTTGTTTGGAAATGTCTTTCCCCCCAAAATCCTCCCAAATCTTACCCCCCTTTTTTCTGGGGAAGGTTTGATAAAAATCCTCACCAATTTGCATAGGTGACCACAGACCCAAACCCTTGGATCTTAAGAACAATGAAAAAAGCATTCAGTTTCTTAAAAGAAGAATTTTAATAGAAGAAAAAGTAAAAAAGAATCACCTCTGTAAAATCAGGATGGTAAATACCTTACAGGGTAATTAGATTCAAAACGTAGAGAATCCCTCTAGGCAAAACCTTAAGTTACAAAAGGACACAAAAACAGGAATATCCATTCCATTCAGCACAGCTTATTTTCTCAGCCATGTAAACAAACAGAATCTAACGCATATCTAGCTAGATTACTTACTAAGTTCTAAGACTCCATTCCTGTTCTGTCCCTGGCAAAAGCATCACACAGACAGACCCAGACCCTTTGTTTCTCACCCCCACCCTCCAACTTTGAAAGCATCTTGTCTCCTCATTGGTCATTGTGGTCAGGTGGCAGCGAGGTTATCTTAGCTTCTTAAACCTTTACTGGTGAAAGGGTTTTTCCTCTGGCTAGGAGGGATTTTAAAGGTGTTTACCCTTCCCTTTATATTTATGACAGGAGCCTATGATCATTTCATAACAATTAGGTCTCAAGAGATCAAATTAGTTTCCTCCTCTCCCTTTTTTAAATCACTCCTAAAATACCATGGGCTATGAAGACTTTCAACAATGAACTCTGCAAGAATCTTCCAACACATCCAATTTCCAGTAGCACTTGATGTTCAAGCAGTGTCTGAATTGTTTTTGACGGTGTTCTGGGCTCCTGTGTTTTAGATTCTAAAAGGATCCAATCTAGCAAAGCATTTAATAAAACTAAGCTTGAATTTTAGCACAGTTAGTCCTATTGATTTCAGTGGGTCAACTTGCATGCTTAAAGTTAAGCAGGTACAGAAGAGCTTTGCTAGATCAGGACCTAAGGCCAGAATTTCAAAAGTGATGCGTGATTCTGGATGCCTCACGTTTTGGCAGAGCTGGCTGAAAACCAGGAAAAGAATTTCACAAATACGTCCCTTTTTTGGTCAAAAATTCAGGTTTTGTTTATTTTTCTTCCAACACCACTTTTGAGTCAGCTTGACCGACTAAAGGGATTGATTCTCAGAAAGAGATGAGCACCTGCTCTCTGAAAATCAGGCCCTTTTTAAGTTGTCTCAGTTTGGGCACCCAAAAATTGAGACACCCAAAATCACTAGTCTTCTTTGGAAATCTCGGCCTGAATTCTCTGAAGCAGAGCCATTTCTTTTATTTGCTTGTACAATACTAAGAAAATTCTTGGTCCTTAGGGTCTGACCCTGCATCACTGATTCAATTATTGTGTGGCCATTCACATCAGTGGGAGCAGGATCAAAGTTTACTGAATAATAAATACAGGACATGGTTCTCCTCTCACTTCCAGCAGTTCTATAAGCAGTGTGTTTTTTTTTAAATAAATTAGTCCGGTGTTTACCATCTGGAAGTGTTATGTGAGTACAGTGCCTAGCACTATGGGGCTCTGATCCCGATTAGAGCCTTTAGTCACCACTAAAATATACACATTATCATCATCATCATCATCCAGTCAGAAATAAATGCATTTGCAGTGGAGTTCCTTCTGTCTCTCCTCTACAGCCAACAGAAACTCTGCCTCTGCAATGTGAGGAAAAAATGAACAGCAAAAGCAAACTCACCACAGTGATTCCATCAGTTAGCAAAGACTCTCCAAATATCATCACGTAAAGCTGCTCATTAACAGAGGCCTCTTCAAAAACAGCTAGTGCCGCCACGGGATCCACAGCTGAAATCAGGCTGCCGAAGAGCAAGTTCTGCACCAGATTAACGTCAGTGAGACCAAAGGCTTCGATCTGGCAGATCCCATAGAGAGAGAGTCCAATGCCAAATGCATTCAGGAGGGATCCCAGTAGAGACCACCACAGGATGGACACAAAATTTTCAAAAAAGGGGCGAGTGGGCATAAAGTACCCCTCCTCAAGGACAGTGGGTGGGAGGAGATACAGGAAGTAAATGTTGGTAGTCATAACTGGTGGGGATTTGTGATCAGTGCCAAAAATGATTGCTCCAACCAGTGCCCCGACAGCTATCAGAAGGCAGCATTCCGGCATGAGGCTTGGCAGTCGGTGGTAGAGATGGAAACCTTGAATAAAACATGGGGAAATGAGCTGAGTTGAAACGGTTTTAATGCTGCCATATTGCCCATTCTTCCTGACTCCAGACAGATGTTTTCCCCAACTTGCAATATTTTGCACTCAGAAGGCCCACATTCTACCCTCGGTCACACTAGCATAAATCCATACAAGAGTGGGGGATTAGCCCCAAGTCTTTTCGGTACCCCATACCTGCTAAAAATCTCTTGGGGGGGAAGGGGTTGTTTGTTTTATTGTATTTCTTTTAACAAAAATAGCAATGTTTATGACCATGGTTTCTCTATTTTCCATTTCTATTTTCCATTTCTGATGTGAACAATTTACAAACATAGAAGTGAGAGGGCAGCCAATGAATTATGAACAGGTAATTCCATATTATACAGTCTGGGGTTTCCTGCACCTTTCTCTGAAATATCTTGTTCTGTCCACTGACAGAGACAGGAGAGTGGATTAGATGGGCTGTGTGTCTAGGACAGTAATTCCTACATATGTGGAACAGAGAAATTGGTCTCCATACCTAGCAGTCATTGACCTCAATCACTGCTGAGATAACAAGATAATCAGCTGAACATGAAGAAAAGGAGTACTTGTGGCACCTTAGAGACTAACCAATTTATTTGAGCATGAGCTTTCGTGAGCTACAGCTCACTTCATCAGAAGTGAGCTCCCAGGGCAACGCTGTGGCCAAAATGGCTAATGTGATCCTGGGATGGATAAACAGGGGAATCTTAAGTAGGAGCAGTAGTGCAAGTAGGGTGGTACTCTCCAGTACACAGTCCTGACAAGAGATTTTTAGCGGGTATGGGGTACCAGAAAGACTTGGGACTAGCTCCCCACTCCAGAGGTGAGGGTGGGGCTGTGCTGTGCTCCTTAAAGGAGCAGAACACTGCTAAGGAGGGCATTCATTCTTTATATGGCTTTAACAGCACAATACATATGCTAACAAACTTAAACAAGGTTTTGTTTAAGTTTGTTAGCATATGTATTGTGCTGTTAAATTGGTCAGGAGTCCTCAAGAGGAGAGGGGTGGGAGTGGGGGGACATGGAAGGTGTTTAAACAACGTTTTTTATTCTGTTTCTCCCCATTGGTCTGAATTATCCATGACACCCATACTGCATCACATCAAGTCCAAACCATTAGAGGAATGCCTCTGCTTGCACTGACCAGAGGATGTTTGGATTCTGATGTCAGCCCAGTTCAGCAGCCTGACAGGAATCAGGTGTTGTCCCCAGAGTACCTAAAATTCTTTGCAGCCAAACTAGTCTAATATGCATTTTGTTAACTGGAACGGGAGCAGCAAAACAAAGAAAACAAATGCCTCATTTTCCAGCTTTGTGGGTGAGAGAATAATAAGTGAAGAATATAATGCCGGACACAGATGACCTCAAACCAGCTGCCTCAGGATTCTGCCAAGAACTTCACTGAAAATATGTTCCTCATCTTAGCAACAGAGCTAAGACTTATCACACATCAACCCACCTTTATTTGAATGACGCTCCTCCTGATCTGACAGCTCAGGTATTGTCAATTTCATCCAGAACAATTTACAAACTTGGAATCTAATCCTGTAAACCCTTAATCATTTGATCAATTCCATTGAAGATAATGGGACTATTTGCATGACTATGGACCACTTTTGTGGTAAGAGTTTCAGGAGTCTGTTTTGTTCCTATAAAGGATGTTGAATCTCCCATTAAATGCAATGTTTGGGTACAATACCATAAAGCAGTTTAGGATACAGTTCTACTTAAAATTTGTCTTTTAATAAGTCATACATATGCAGAAATGGCTCCTCACCCAACTCCCATATTCCATATAAACAGACTGAAATACTACATATTTTGGGGGAAAGTGACTAGATAAGCATGCTGATGTTTGTATATACAAACACCCATTTCATCACTGTACTGGAAAATATAGCTGAACTTAATTTTCTATGGACTATAAATAAAGTTTAACAGCCCCAATTGTTTTCTGTGTTAATCAGTGTAAACCTGAAAAAATTACATGCCTTCTAAGAGAAAAGAATCAGTCCACATTTACTGAAAAAAAAAAATCCTTCCAACTGGTGTTCAGAAGAGTGCTACAAGACACATATATAACCTCATAAGCAGAGGGCGGAGAGGATATCCTCCCACATTATGACCAGCAACATAAAATAATAATAATAATAATTATTATTAACTTTCAAAGAGGCAGAGGTTCTCAGATTTGCAAATCTAAAAATCTTTGTGTTATGCTTTAAACCACCATAGTACATACCAGGTTTATGAACATTAAAAAGTTAACTGCAAAGGAACACTGAAGCCCAATAACCTGAATGTGTGCCAGCCAGTTATGCCCTCACTGACTAAAGGCTCAGTCACACCTGAACAGCTAAAAATTAACCTTACCCTTTTAGGCTAAACAAAGTCATGTCACTGGCTCCATCTCTGTTGTTACATAACAGATAACAAAACTCCAGTGGGGCATGATGCTGACACATAGGGTCTCAGGTACATGGTGGGATTTTTCAGACTCTCTTTTGGGAATAGTCATGGAGGTGAAATAGCTGGTACTTATGATTATGCTATTTCTATGCATGTATATTCATCTTGGTATCTGAAATTATGAATATTAGTTATGCTTCCTACATGTTTGCTCTTGTGGTAACACCCACAAGATATATAGCCAGCGCATGAAGGGACAAGTTGAATGGCCCATTAAGGAACACTTAGCTCACAATGGACCCTGGAAAACGCCTGTCTACACTTAATGGACTTTTTGTGACTGTTGTAACTGGAGGGATAGCTCAGTGGTTTGAGCATTGGCCTGCTAAACCCAGTGTTGTGAGTTCAATCCTTGAGAGGGCCATTTAGGGATCAGGGCAAAAATTGGGGATTGGTCCTGCTTTGAGCAGGGGGTTGGACTAGATGACCTCCTGAGGTCCCTTCCAACCCTGATATTCTATGATTCTAGAATATGGGTGGGGGTGATGGACATGTAACTTGCCCATGTGACTCCAAACACCATCTTTCACATTATGAACAGATTTCCCTTTACTTGGCCCTTGGCAGAAGCTAAAAGGCCCTGGCCTGGAAACATCTCCATTTTGCCTCTTTCCTGCCCTGGCCTCTTTCCTGCTCCGGCCTCTGGACTACAAACGTACCAATGGGACTGAGGGACTTTAATATACTCTGGAGCCTTGATATTCCTTGATCCTTTGCAGATGGATTTATGAGTTGGATATTGTACAGAGACTGTTCTAGCCCCATTGATTGCTGATTTCTCCCTTGCAATGGACAAAGATCAGCTGTCTGCTGACTTTCTCACATACATAGGCACTGACTCCGAGGGTGCTCTGGGGCTGGAGCACCCATGGGGAAAAATTAGCTGGTGCTCCGCATGCACCAGCAGCCAATCTCCCCCTCCTCACCTCCCCTCCTCCTCCCCCGAGCGCTCTGTGACCCCACTCCACCCCCTCCCTCCCAGCACCTCCTGCCCCCCTGCTGCCTAACAGCTGTTTGGTGGTGCTAAGGACTTTCCGGGAGGGAGTGGGAGGAGCGGGGAGGAGGCAGGGCAGGGTCACGGACTTGAGGAATGGGGGCAGGAAGGGGTGGGGCTGGGAAAAGGCGGGGTGGGGTGGGACTTTGGGAAAGGAGTGGAATGGGGTAGAGCGAGGGTGGGGCAGGGGCAGGGATGGGGGGGTCGAGCGCCCACAGGGCAGAGGGAAAGTCGGCACCTATGCTCACATGAGTCAGCAGTTTTGATACCTGTGGTATAAGCAACATAGCCCTTGCTTGAGTGGTTTTGTTCTTTCCTCTCCAAATGTCAAAGCCTGTTCCCATTGAACTCAATAGCAAAACTCCTTTTGATTTCAATGGGAACAGGATTTGGCCCCAAGAGATCAGAGAATGTGATTTTGATCAATTGCTTATCTGTTCAGAGACAGTTCTCATGCATGTTCTGCAGGCTGATTTTGATTACCCCTCCTGTATGTCATGCTTAGGAAAATAATAAAACAATTTGGGCTGTAGTTCTGTCAAGATGTACATGGCACATATAGTTCTATGCCTCTTTTCTATAAAACACAGATGGTGCAGCATCTTTGCTTTCCTAGTGCCTGGAGGAGAGCAATACTTAGATAAAGGCAAGTTGGCAGAAGCTTTTGACATAAGGGAGGCACTGATAGTGTGTTAAGGGAAAGTGTGGGGATTGTCCCTCCTGTCCTTCTTTCATTTAGGAAGTTTTCAATTTGGGGTGCTGCTGGATCCTCAATGACATCTGGAATTTACAACTGCATCTGTCCCTCCCATGAGTGCAGTGCTGGCAAGAAATGATTTCTACTTAGAACCTGCACCACTGTGTAAGAGCAGAGAGGTTAGTTTACCTCTGTATTTGGCACAAGTGTGACCGCTGCTGGAATATTGAATCCAGTTCTAGTGTCTGTGATTCAAGAAGGATGTTGCTAAATTGGAGAGGCTAAGAGCCATTAGAATGCTTACAGGATTAGAAAACATTCCTTATAGTGATAGACTCAAGGAGCTCAATCTAGTTAATTTAACAAAGAGAAGGTTAAGGGGTGACTTGATTCCAGTCTATAAGAACCAACATGGGGAACAAATATTTAATAATGGGCTCTTCAATCCAGAATAGAAATGTACAACATGAACTAATGTCTGGAATTTGAAGCTAGACAAATTCAGATTGAAATAAGGCATACATTTTTAAGTGCAAGTAATCAGCCATTAGAACAATTTACCATGGTTGGTGATAGATTATCCATCACTGACCATTTTTAAATCAAGATTGGAGGTTTTTCTGAAAGGTATGCTCTAGGAATTATCTTGGGGAAGTTCTATGGCCTGTGTTATATAGGAAGGCAGAATAGATGATCACACTGCTTTTGGCCTTGGAATCTATGAACAAACAAGGATGCAAATTGGTGCTGATTTTGATGATGGTTTTACTAATGAGGATACTGTTTCCAGAA